GTCTAAATCATTAAATTAACAAATTTTCTCAGATGTGAATGGCAAATTAAACATTTTTTAACAACACGTATATCAACCTAAAATCTAAATGCACTCTTTCAAAGGTTAATAGCATTGTGGTTTAAATATGCATAAACGCTCCTGGAATTGCAATATAAAACTGGTAGAGCTTCGATCGCAGTAAGTACTGATGTGCTAACTATTATCATCATGTATCAGGACTGAAAGGGCTGATGAGATTGACTCTGACACTTTTACATAGGACGGTTCAAGGGGATACTTTTAGGTAGTCCAGCACGTTCAGAGAGGTACAGAGATTCTCCATGAGATTTTCTATGGAAGTTCTCAATATTGCTTTACAAGTGGTCCTAAACAGTATTTGGACATTTAAGCAAAACTTTAAATGAATGAAATATACTTCCTGCATAAACAAACAAACAAATGATGCTAGGGCATTTCTCAGAACTAGTTTTCAGTGGATGCATAAAGTTTAACCACAGGTGTAATTTAAAGGGGTCATATGCTGTTGCTAAAAATAACATTATTTTATGTATTTGGAGTAATGAAATGTGTTTATGCGCTTTAAGGTTAAAAAAAACATTATTTTCCACATACTGTACATTATTGTTTCTCCTCTATGCCCCGCCTTTCTGAAACGCGTCGATTTTTACAAAGCTCATCGGTCTGAAAAAGCGAGGTGTGCTCTGATTGGCCAGCTATCCAGTGCATTGTGATTGGCCGAATGCCTCAAGCGTGTGACGGAAATGTTACGTCCCTTACCACATTGTGATCCCTGCGGCAACCACATGCGTCAACCCCGGGCTGGACTCCGCTTCGTCCACAGTGAAAGCCGATCCGGCGATCGACAGCGCGAAGTTGAAGTATTTCCTCAACGACCAGCACGGATCAGCTCCAGGCATGATGAAGCGATATCGTCCTCTTTTGGAAGGCCAAACAAAGTAGTTTCACTTTCACAACGAAGCACACAGCGCCTTCATGACATGGCGGCGGCGGCAACAATACTACAGCGAGAATAAAAGTTACGCCTTCTTTCTTTGCGTGAACATTTGGGCGGCATTATGCAAATCTTCCCAGATAGTGACGTAGGTATGTGGGGGAGTGTTAGAACGAGCCGTTTTAGGTAGGCGTGGTTGACTCTTAACTTTTATAAAGAATATCTCTTTGGATTTGAGACTTTAGTGTTTGCAACACTCCAAAGAGAAAGGGAAAATTGAAATCGCATTATATGACCCCTTTAAAATATAATAGAAACTAACATTTGGCAACCAGAAAGGATCCAGATACTTTTTGACCTAATCTTGAACATTATATCTGTTGATTTATCATTTGAAACCTAACAAACTTCTTTTTTGTGAAATGTTTTGTGGAAGGTTCATTGACAGTTTATTTAACATTTTGTTATCTAATGCAATGATGTTCAAACATCACACAAGGGATTAAATATTTTTGAGGCCAATGTTCATGTAAACAACTGTCAGTTTACAACAACTCACAAAATAAAATAAAAAAACATGTGCTTACAAATCCATAAACACAAAATTAAAAATGAATCCAAATCTATTCAATGAAAAAAAAACACGCAAAAAGTGCTGTTGATTCAGCTGTAGATACAAGGCCTTAGTCAGTGTATTTAACCATTTACCTTTTGACAGGAATGAAAACGAGGCTTTGAGGAATAGAAGTACAGTGTGTTCAATGGGTTGTAATGTTGTTTAACAACATACCGATTGTTCAGCGGACAAAAAAACTTTCTGAAAACAACAAAAACGTTCAGTTGACAAACACTCCATAAATCAGTTTTGAAGTTGTGAATTGTGAAAATGACATGATCTAGAACCTTTATACAGTGCGTGCCACTGTAAAGACTAAGTCTATTCCTCACAGCCTTGTTTTCTTCAATTTGGCGTCTAACCTGATTAAGGTCTATTCAGACCACGATTGCAAATTGTTTGAAAATATCATGCTCTCTGCCAAATATCTCTAGGAGTCTGCCTGTTAGTGTTCTTTCTCCCTTCGGTTTACTCCTTGTGTCTCTCTTCGTCCTACCTTCTGTGTTCCCCCTCTTTATGTCACCTATATTTATCCCCTTAAAGCTTTTACATGAGTTAGCTTGAATAATAGGATTCATCTGGAAAGAAGTTATTCTTCTCCCTTAACTTTTTGCTTATATATCATTTTATATGACACGTTTTGTCTTATATGATATATAATGCATTCTCCTATTGGATGAACGGGGTACACCAGCCCTCACAATATGTCTATATATATATATATACTATTGTAGGAGATAATAAAGTTGAAGTTTGTGGACAGAGATTAGACGCTGTGTTTACGACTCTTCATGAACGATACAGGCACTGAGAGTATTCTGACAGCACTAAAAGATAAAGAGTTAGAATTCTTAACACAACTGGTATTGGTTTTCCACAAATCCTTGCAAAAATTTAGTTCCATCAACTAAAATAGTTACAAAAAAAATAGCTTTAACCCTTTCCTATACCCCTATACCAACTGTATGCGTGTGTATGTGTATGTTAGACCAGTTTTTGCGTTTATGTAGGATGTTAGACCAGTTTATGTGTTTATGTAGTTAATAAAACCTTACTTGTATCACACTTGATGTGGTTCATTGTTTGCTTATAACTGGAGTCACTTAATCATGCAGATTTATGCTACAAGCTTTTGTAGAATTGTACAGTAAGAAAGTTATTTCCCTTAACCAGGAAATTAACGTTCTTAGAATTGACAAGACAGTTGACCCTGAGAGGTCAGCTAAATATCTACAGCGGATCTAAATATTCATAATTAATTATAACTAGTTATGATTAATTATTCATATTTCCTCATGAGCGGATTCGTTACAGTGCAATGAAACGCACATCTCCGTACAACATGCTATAGCAGTGCTTCTGAATGAATCAGCATGCAAACAAATCAGCTAAACAAATTCAACGATTTACCTAAAAACCGGTCACCACCTACTGCTGTGAGGGTGTAACCTACAGAAACATTAGCTGACCAATAAGATAAATTAAAAAAAATTAAAAAATTTAAAGCTTGCTGTCTAGGTTACATTTATATATTAAAAAAAAAAAAAAAAACGATACATGAGCGGACGTCATAACTCATTTGTCCAAAAATGTGTAAAACGTGTTAGTATTATTTTCTGTAAACATTTGAATGTTTTTCTTTAACTTTACTGCTATCCTTTTTTTTGTCTCATCCAAATATACCACTGGCTATCTTTGTAAACCAATAAATTAATAAATAAATGTGACAAGTGGGAGCGAGGCCGGTGGAGTAATTGATAATGAGCGACACCTGCACCACTCACCGGTCTCGAGTCCCACGGAGGAGCTCCGGAAGGATAAAAGGAGGAGTGACGATAATGAAAGACGAGAGACGACCAGGCCTGGACTTCATTTTGTGTTTTGTGTGCGGCAGTCGTCCGCGAGGGGCTGCCGCTTTACTTTCATTTTGTGTTTGTTTATTTTATTAAAGTCTTCTTTAAATGTTCGCCGGTTCCCACCTCCTTCTTCCCGTGACTACGAACGTTGTTACATTGGTGCTGAAACCCGGGAGGAAGGAGGGACACGCTGTCAGAGAGCCCTCGCTGCTGAGGGGGATCGCGGTGCTGAGGAGATCGGTGAGACCACCGGTGGCTGCCCGAGGCGGTGGTGCTGGAACGATGGAAGATGAGGTGGGACGGAGAGCTCACTGCCGCGCTCCTGGGTCGAGGAGGGGTGGCTGCCGTCTGAGAGGGAGCGGAGGAGTCGGCCCCCGTTCGCCAGGAGGTCGGAGCCTGCTGCCGTCCTCCATGATTGGGGAGGAGCAGGGAACGGGGGGACTCGCTGCCGGCTGCCCTCAATAGGAGGAGCCATCGCCGGCCGCCAGGAGGCGGAGGAGCGGTGAGCCGTCCACCAACGATGTCCAGTACCATCGCATGGCACCGAGATTAAGAGCCTCTCAGCCGGTTGAGGACCAAGCAGCAGTGTGTCCGGGAACTGGACCAATAATTTTTTTTTTTCCCTCTCTTGTATCGGTCTCTCCTCATTCCTCCGTCTCCTTTTCTCTCGCCTCGTCTCTCTGTCCTTACCCCCAGGTACGCCGCGGCTGCTGTAATTTTGGTGGGGGGGGGGTAGACAGTGAAAGATGAGAGAGGACCAGGCCTGGACTTTATTTTGTGTGCGGCAGTCGACCGCGAGGGGCTGCCGGCTTTTCTCTCGCCTCGTCTCTCTGTCCTTACCCCCAGGTACGCCGCGGCTGCTGTAATTTTGGTGGGGGGGGGGTAGACAGTGAAAGATGAGAGAGGACCAGGCCTGGACTTTATTTTGTGTGCGGCAGTCGACCGCGAGGGGCTGCCGGTTTACTTTCATTTTGTGTTTGTTTATTTTATTAAAGTTTTCTTTAAATGTTTGCCGGTTCCCGCCTCCTTCCCGTGACTACGAACGTTGTTACAAAATAAAACAAAAACACCAAAGAAATTTCACATTCCCCAAGTCTAGTGCCATCACGTCTTAATAAATATACTGACATTCTTGAACCCGCAAACATAGACAATATAAACAGTGAGAAGTCCCAGTGTTGAGGACTGTATATCAGGCCAATCAAATTACATAACCAGAACTAACCATTTTATGCATGTATAAATACATAAATATACAAATTAACTCCCCCTAGGTCAGTATTTTTTTTCCCCTACAGAAGCTCTGGCTCAACTTGCTGCTGTATTTGGCTCACTGTACTGCTGCTGCTGTTTGTAGACTAAATATTTGTAGCACACTAAGCTTTCTGGTGGACGGCCAGGCAATAAGTTTGAACCTGTTGCATGCATCTGTCACCATACACCTGCCCTCTGTATAACACTGTGCTCTTCTGCAGGAACACATACAGACCGAAGAGTCTGATCAACTCACAGATAATAAATATAGGACAATATTGTCACGATTGTGCTTAACGCTGCACCACAGCTGGTTTACCTTCAACGGACTGGCCGATACCGTGTAGATGCGTGATATCAGGAAACATCCTGTTGATGTCTTTCAAGTACTGCTCCATTTCCATGCTGTTATGATAGCGAAACTCCAGACCGTAAATGGATGATAGCCAGGACCATAAGAACAGGCAGAGAGTGAAGACGAACATCCTTTGAATCAACACAATGGAAGAGTGTTGAAGCCTTTTCCAGAAACACAAACAAAGAAGACAATGACGTGATGTGCCCTTATCTTGTTTCACTTCACTTTCTATTGTCTGTCAATATGGATTCATATTTTTAAAGCCTTGAGGTTTAGAAAGACATTGAATAAACTTGTTTCTTTATATGACAGGTGTGTAATATGTCCAAAAATGCTGTCTAGATGGGCAGCTCACTAGGAAATTATGTTATATATAGTTTGGACAGGAGAGCCCAAGGCTGTATATGTAATACAATTAACTAATTTTCAGAATTGCCCAGCATAACGTAATTCTCAGCATCATATCTGCCTAATTTGTTGTAGTGCTTGCTTTGTAGCCATTATTTATATTAGCATAATTGATATCATGTTAGTGTTCATGTCCAATACATGATCGTTGTGTTGTATCTAAAAGGTCAGCAGTAATGCAATATGCTCTAAAGTCACAGGTTAATATTTATGTTCGTTTTAAGTTTTTAGACATTAATGTTTGCCTTTTCTAGAAGCGTGCAGTGTATTTCTGAAAATAATTAAAATAAGTATTTGCTGAGGACAAAGGCGGATGCCCATAAATAAGAATTTACGGTTAGGCAGGTTACTATTCTTTATATCAATATCAATAATATCACATTATTATGTACACACAAACGCAAACCATACACAGTACGTGTATAAATAGTAATCTACAGTATCAACACATGACTCCATGTGCACTTAAATTATAAATAAAACATGATAAGGTTTATAAAAAAGAAACAAACTGCATTGCATCGCAAGGCATTCATTAACCAAACAACTTTAGACTTTGTACTTAGTATTAATGAGAGTAAACGAGCAGCTTTACCTCTTGTGCGTCCTCTGGCGCTTCTCCGACACTGTTTAAGACCTTGTCCTGCTTGTTTAGTTACTCTGTTGTCATTATATCATCTCATAACAGGTTAAGAAGGTTCATATGTCATCGTCCTGCTCGTGTCATTGATGAAATGAAGGTATCTTGTTCCATAGCGCAGTGCGTTCAACCGACTCCACTCCAACCTCACGTGTGTTTGGTGCAGCTGTAGGGAGTAACGAGTGGAGGCGGGGCTCAACACACACACATACACACACACAGTATCAATGACACTTGACATAACCTTTGGTGTGTTCTGTTTACTATTTACATTCAATTAAAATGTACTGTGTACATAACGACAGGTATTACCTGAAAATTACTTTGAATATCCCATTATTGCGTGACATCTTGACCAGATTCTTGACATACTTCAATTTGCATATTCTACTTCTGACTGCCAACATGACCGTTATGATTGCTGGTTTATGCTGGTCATGTGCTAGTTTATGCTGGTCATGTGCTGGTCCTTTTGCTGGTTTATGCTGGTCATGTGCTAGTTTATGCTGGTCATGTGCTGGTCCTTTTGCTGGTTTATGCTGGTCATGTGCTGGTTTATGCTGGTCATGCGCTGGCAAAGGACCAGCTTAAACCAGCATCCCAGCGTCAAAACATACCCAACCAGCATATGCTGGTTTTTTCAACAGGGCAGTGAACTGCTTTGAACTGCGTGTTTACATTTTATGCAAACACCATATAAGACAGCAACACAAAGAAGAAGGAAGAGAAAATGGTTTGCAGCCAAAACATTTCATTTTAGACTAATAAGAAGATCTCTTGAATTTTTGCTGTCAAATTTCAGGTGTAGCACTCATCTCCAGCTTCCTGCAGAGTCCCTCGGGGCGACAGTACAACCGGATAAATGACACACCTGTTCCTGCAAGCTCATTCTTTACTGCTGAGTTTACACTCACCTACTGTCCAATTGTGCATTAGCGAGTAGATTATTAGAAATAGATGTGTATCATCATCCAAAAGATCACATAAATAGGCTACATCGGTGTCTAGTTGCATATAAACTCGGGAGACATATGCATTCCGTCATTATTCTTTATACTGATCTAAAAGGGTGCTTCAGCTTGGTCCAGTTTGCATTTCTAGGATAACAAACTTTAAATGTCTAAACCGAGCTCTCTAGAAGGAAAAAGTAATTTCTCAACAAACTTAAACCAGTGACGTGAGTATTTACTGTTTTTGTATAATAATGAAAGGTCTACTGAATTCCAGACTCTGTTTTTGTCCTAGAACATAAACTTGTTTATACAAACCATAAACATGATATGTCATCATACATGAGTCATGTCAAAGGAAGGATTCCACTTTACCTGAGCTATGATCTCCTCAAACACTCCAAAAATGTTTAATGGTAGCCTACCAGTCACAGTCGAAATCCAGCCATTTCAATAGGAATCCATGCGATTGGGAACTTTGTGTGAGGGTGAAAGATTTCCACACAGAGATTTCGCAAAGGGCTCCAGTTGGTCACACGAATTTGGTGCATTGACCAACAGAAAGCTGCTTGGTTTGAAAGTGACTTCTGTGTGAGCTGTGCTTTATACTATATAAAACTGACATTAATGGACCTTTTTTTTGCCAATGAAATGCCACTAAAATTTCACAAATGATATTACACCTTTACTCTTAAAGTGTGGTAAATTTTACCTTTGTTTGGCAACATTTTCATGGGCAAAATCATTCATGACATTTCAATAGAATTCCACGTGATTGGGATTTTTGCATGAGAGTGAACGATTTCGCAACAGGTTCAAGTTGGTCATGCAAATTTGGTTGCTAGATTTGAAATTGACTTCTTTATGAGCTGCGCTTTATTCATTGCTACACTATTGACAATAGGCAATGAACCCATTATTTGACCATGAAATTTCACCAAAATTCTGCAAAAGTGACCATACCTTTACTCTTAAAGCACGGTTACATTCACCCTCGTTTTGGCGAATTTTCATGTGCAAATTCCAGTCATTTCAATAGGATTCCACTCAATTGGGATTTTTGCGTGAAGGTGAAAAATTTCTCAACAGGTTAAAGTTAGTCATGCAAATTTGGCGCATTGACAACAGAAACAACAGAAAGCTGCTAGGTTTCAAAGTGACTTCTTTGTTAACTGCGCTTCATGCATTGCTACACTATTGACAAAAGACGATGGACCCATTTTTTGGCCGTGAAATTTTGCAAATGTGACCATACCTTTTTCTTAACATATTTTATTCTTGTTCGAATGGGCAAAATCCAGTCATTTTAATAGGATTCCACGTGATTGGACATTTTTGTGTTACGACGAAAGATGTTGACCAAAAGAAAGCTGCTTGGTTTGAAAGTTATTCTTTGTGAAAAGTGATTCATACATCTCTACACTACTGGCAGACAATGGACACTTTTAGGGCCACAACATCTGACTGCACATTTACTCTTACTGCTTGACTATTTCTTCTGAAATGTCTATGTGGAAAGTTGCTGTTTTGATGCCAGGTTGTTGTGGATGGTTGCTAAGGGTGAGTGTGATTTCACCAAGTACAACATGTTCCTGGATCAACATTCCTATCAACCAATCAGAACTGAGATATAACTTATCAGGAAATGTCTGTTTTAGGCTTACAATCAGGGTTAGGTGCTTCTACACCCTTGTTAATTAGCTATCATTTCACACTGATTTTAGGAATAAATTATGGGTAGGGTTAGGTTTAGGGGTAGGGATTGGGTTTAGTCTATAGTTTTGGACAGTAATGTTGATCCAGGATCAACAAAAGATGTTGATCCAGGAACATGTCCTACTTGGCAAAATCACAGCGACCGGTTACTAAGGTGTTCTGGGTAGTTATTAAGGCGCTGCTAAGCTGTTGCATGGAAGTTAAGTGGTTACATATAGTTAAAAAACAAAACAGTTGGTTTCCAGATATGGTCCATGCCCCTCCTTGAAGGTAAATCTATGAGATTTAACTCACATGAGTTTAAATGTAGATTAGGGTGCCGCTGCAGAGGAGTCTTGAGTAACTTGTTTGCTTGCACCACCTTGAAACACTGTAAAGAGGAAATCTGTGTCCATTCAAGCCTATAATTCCAGTCTCAACGTAAAAAGCCACATAATAGCTCTTGCACATCATTAGTCATGACAGCTGCAATCTAGTCTCATGATGTGCTGCATGTGTGAGAGTGTGTTCATGGATGTGGTAATCTGTGAGCTCAGATGTCTGGAGGTGTTCACTGTGTCTGTACACATCCACAGAGGTTTCAAGCTATGTATGTTACATGCTTAAAAAAAAAAAATTCATTAAAACTGTTATCCAAATAAACCAATAAAACTAAACCTCATTTACAGTTATGGTATCTATGAACCGTCACGTTTTGTAAAAGACCTTGAAAGAAATTCTTCAAATCTCACATTTTTGTTTCAAGGAAGAAAGAAAAATAAGCTAAATCTAGACCTAAAATAAACTTGATTGAAGTGGTTTCTTTCAGCTGGGTCTGGCCCTTTAATTGGCCACTGGTTGACTAATTTTTAGGTCAGTATTTATGAACAATGTGTTGCATCAACAAATTTGACAGCATTAATCAACAGATCAATAGGTAAACACTGACAGGATGCTAATGAATTATGTAATTTTAAACACTTGACAACAAATAGTTTCCAGTGACCTGAAGGCAAAATCTACTCTTCTAGTCATCTCTTTGTTTGTTCAAGAAAAAAAAAGGTTGACATACAGTTTCCATGTCTGTTTTCGGCAGAGACAAAGAAGTCATGGGGACTGAAAACAATGGCCTAGGGCCTAGGCTGTTTATCATGAGATAATAAACATCAATCACTCCTATCATTAAAACAGTATTTGCTCAGGTTACAATACAATGCAGTGTATTGAAAAATAAATAGAAGTTTCCATATGACAGTACCATTTATTAGTAAGTGTGTCTGGGAATTGTGAACATGACCTTAATTTTACTAGCGCCGTGCTCTACATGTCAAGTTTTTCATCTTAAACCTAAAAGGTTTTGACCAAAATGTACAATCTAGCGGGTGAAAAAACAGACTTTGCCATCTGGGCCTGCACTTTATTGTCTGCATTTGTTCAAAGACATTACAATTAAATTAAAGTTAAATTAAAATAAAGTCATAATGAAACTTTTATACTGAGTAAAGTCCTGCACCACCCTTACCTTCATCTTCATGAATTGTTAAGTTTGAAATAGATCTCTAAATTGCACAATGTGTTTATGCAGAAGGAGACATCTGGTGGTTGTAAGAAGAACATGCATCCAAATATTTTCCAGTCTTTAGAATTGAATGACATTTCACACATTACATTCATCAAACAAGTCGAGATCACAATGTCATATTTCTTAGTGTCACACACACACACACACAAAATGGAAGCCACATTTTTTTTAAAAGAACCCCATGTTGTTTTATTAGAGAAGGGAAATTCTGAAAACATTTACTAGCGGGTGAAAAAACAGACTTTGCCATCTGGGCCTGCACTTTATTGTCTGCATTTGTTCAAAGACATTACAATTAAATTAAAGTTAAATTAAAATAAAGTCATAATGAAACTTTTATACTGAGTAAAGTCCTGCACCACCCTTACCTTCATCTTCATGAATTGTTAAGTTTGAAATAGATCTCTAAATTGCACAATGTGTTTATGCAGAAGGAGACATCTGGTGGTTGTAAGAAGAACATGCATCCAAATATTTTCCAGTCTTTAGAATTGAATGACATTTCACACATTACATTCATCAAACACGTCGAGATCACAATGTCATATTTCTTAGTGTCACACACACACACACACAAAATGGAAGCCACTTTTTTTTAAAAGAACCCCATGTTGTTTTATTAGAGAAGGGAAATTCTGAAAAGTAAGCTGCATTTAGTAGTTTACCAAGGAAATATTCAATTAAACAATCTGAAATGGAATGCTATGTCAAAATGAAGTGTACTAAACCAGCTATTATACTGCAATGACAAGCCTGGGAGAAGGAAGGACGTCCAAAAATTTGACGCTAGAGCAGAGAATAAATTAGCTTGCTTGTTCATGTACAAGACATGGGAATAAAGTTTTTTTTTTTGCATCAATATGATTCTGAATAGCAGACAAGATCACAAAGGGATACATAAGGACTGTGTGCTGCGTGGAGCGTTCTGAAAGCTGTTTGGTACCCATAAATCAGGTAACCAGCTCGACCGCATCTTCACATGCAATTGTATCACAAATAACATCTTGGTCAATCCCTTGCATGTCTCGGATCATTTAATTATTACTTTTAATCTACATCTACCTCCTTCCGCACCACAAACCCCTCTGCCAGTTTTGTTTAGATGAAATCTCCTTCTCGACTTTCCTCTGTAGTATCATCCTCTCTTCCCACCCCCACACATTTCTCATCATCCGTTCTTTTTCTACCCTAACTCATTGCCTAGACAATATCTGTCCTATTTCCTCCAGACCAGCACGTGCTACTCCCTCGAACCCCTGGTTAACCGAGGTCTGCCGTGAGCATCGGACTAAACTCAGGGCAGCGGAGAGAAAATGGAGCAAATCAAAAGATTCAGCTGATCTCAGCAGGTATTGCTGATTGCAGAGGTATCACTGTAATGTTCATTTTCCACCAAAGTTCACGCTGCCAAAACGATCTTCTTCCGTAACAAGTTCCACCACCTCACACCACCTCTTTAACTGCTGACAATTTTGCTAATCACTTCACAATCAAAACCACATCCATCAGCAGTCAGTTCTCAACTCCACTCACCCAGGAACTCACAGCAAACACTCACTCAGCTGACCATCTTCTCTCCTCTTACAGAAGATTAAGTCTCTAAACTTATCCTCTCCAGCCACCCTAACACCTGTCCTCTAGACCCAATCCCCTCACATCTCCTACAAGCTATTTCCCCTGCACTTCTGCATTTACTCACACATCATCAACACATCTCCTCACAGGTATTTTCCCCACAGCATTCAAGCAGGCTCAGGTAACCATACTACTTAAAAAAACCTACACTAGGCACCTGAATTTTTGAAAGCTACAGGCCCCGTGTCTCTCCTCCCGTTCATAGCAAAATCACCTGAACGCGTTGTGTTCAACCAAGTGTCTTCCTTCCTCTTACAGAACAACCAGCTGGACAATAACCAATCTGGATTTAAAAGTCACCATTCGTCTGAAACTGCCTTGCTCTCAGTCACTGAAGCACTACGGAGTGATGCAAGAGCTGAGTCCAAATTTTCATGTTCTCATTCTGCTAGATCTATCTGCTGCATTCTACATTGTTAATCATCAAATCCCTCTGTCCACCCTCTCATCGCTGGGCATCACCGGAACTTCACTCTACTGGTTTGAGTCTTACCTCACAGGTAGGTTCTTCAGGGTGACTTGGGGAGGAGAGGTATCCAAATATCATCGACTGGTCACTGGGGTTCCTCAAGGATCAGTTCTTGGGCCCCTCCTCTTCTCTATATATACACTACGTCACTGGGACCCATCATTCAGGCACATGGATTTTCCTACCATTGCTATGCTGATGACACACAACTCTACCTCTCATTTCAACCAGATGATCCAACAATACCTACTCGATTTTCAGACTGCCTGACGGACATCTCAGCATGAATGAAAGAACATCACCTGCAGCTCAACCTAGCAGACAACCTGGCTTCTCATCTTCCCAGCCACCCATTCAGTACAGCACCAGTTTACCGTCCAACTGGGCTCCTCAACGACAATCCCATCGTGTTCGGCCAGTAATCTTGGGGTGATCCTTGATGATTAAGTGAGTGAGTGAGTGAGTGAAGTGATGTGTGGCCAAGTATGGTGACCTATACTCAGAATTTGTGCTCTGCATTTCGCCCATCCAAGTGCACTCACACCGTGAACACACACCCGGAACAGTGGGTAGCTATATTGCTGCGGCATCTGGGGAGCAGTTGGGGGTTCGGTGCCTTGCTCAAGGGTCTCACCTCAGCCGTGGTATTGAGGGTGGAAGAGAGCGCTGTACATTAACTTCCCCCACCTACAATCCTTGCTGAACCTGAGACTTCGGGTTACAAGTCCGACTCTCTAACCATTAGGCCACGACTGATCAGCTGACCTTTAAAGATCATATTGCAAAAATAGCACGATCATGCAGGTCCGCACTACACAACATCAGGAAGATCAGACCCTTCCTAACAGAGCATGCAACAACAGCTTCTCGTCCAGGCCCTTGTAATTTCTAGGCTGGACTATTGTAATGCTCTTCTGGCTGGACTTCCAACATGTGCAATCAGATCTCTTCAAATGATTCAAAATGCAGCAGCACGTCTTGTTTTCAATGAGCCCAAAAGAGCTCATGTCACACCACTTCTCATCTCTTTGCACTGGCTTCCAGTCACGGTTCACATCAAGTTCAAGTCAAGTGGTGCTTGCCTACAGAACATCCACGGGCTCCGCACCCTCCTACCTCCACTCTCTCCTACTCGTCTACATCCCCTCCAGAAACCTGCGGTCGGTAAATGAGTGGCTGCTCGTGGTCCCATTGCAGAGATTGCAGAGAGTTATATATAACTCTCTAGGATGTTTTCTTTCACTGCACCCTGTTGGTGGAATGACCTAGCTAACTCCACCAGGACAGCCAAATCCCTCACAATCTTCAAGAAACAACTGAAAACTCATCTCTTCCGTGAGCATCTAACTGCCTCCTCAAATAAACGTAAAAAAAAAAAATTCTATGCCTTCACTTTTTCTATTCTACATTTACATTTATTCATTTGGCAGACACTTTTATCCAAAGCGACTTCTAGTTATCGTGTCATTCTTTATCCCTTCCTGTCCTTGCTTTTACTATTTTGAATGATGAGATGACTGAAACCTTATATAAAGGGCACTTCTCGTATTTATTGCCATCTTATGGTAAATTGCTTGTTGTATTCCTCAACTGCAAGTCGCTTTAGATAAAAGCGTCTGCTAAATTAATAAAGGTAAATGTTTGGACCGGTCATTAGGGTGTATTATTAAATAATCCATTTGCTACATATTCAGTAGCAAACATACTGGTGTGTATAAATGAATGTGTGAAATAAGTTGGTAGTGTTGCCCTGCCATAAAATCAAGTCAAGTTGGCCAATAAATCCCCCCCCCCCAAAAAAAACTTTTAACAGCCTCACCTAAACCTTACTGAAATACATCCGTAAGGTTTGCAGAACAGGTGTGCACTTCTGCTAATTTACTTATGTTGTCTTGGTTAATTACTATAGTACTGATTTGAAAATAAAATAATAAAATTACATTAAATTAAATGGGTTCACTCAAAAACAGGTTAGTGGGTCAAAAGTGACAGAGTGGACAGGAATACGAACTGGAAAATTTGCCAGTAGATCTGCAGAGATTCAATGAGCTGTACAGCTTGATTGTGTTACAATATATAACACCTGTGGTTTTTGTGAAATTTGAATTTGATAATCTGTTCCACTGAGTAACAGGACAGGTACAACCACCTTAATACAGCAGCTGCATGCTACAAACTACCAGCCATATTATTGAATTACTGAACAGATTTGTGATTCGGTAACTAATTGCATAACTTGCACTGGCATCACAGACAGACATTTTTCGGATGATTTGGGTAAATTGGGCCACTTTAACTGTCCAAAAGGGCCCAATTTACTTAAATTCACCCTTTGTTACAGACTTCTCTGCTAATGACAGTAACACAATTGTCATGTTTTGCTGGTCACATCCAAGGCAGCTTTTATAATTTTAATTCAAGATCTGGCATCAGTTGGTCTCATCAGTTATTGATCTGTTACCTTGACGAACTGAAAATATGATATCTACTTGCTGGTCAGTGCAACAGATTTTGAGAACGCACATACCCCTTAAAATTCCCTTTCAACTTAAGATTAAATATCTGCATTTTTATGTATAACCTCAAAACACAAGCCTTACAAACAAGGTTCTTACTTTCACTTGAACACTGTAGTGATGCATTGAAAAGTTCTGTCAAACAGCGATTACGTTCACTGTTACAGTTGTTTATAATATACATATCCAACTTACACAAATCTTTGTTCTTAAAAATATATATTCACAATCAAGGAATAAAGTGTCCTCTAAAGTATGTTTATGTCTGAAATGAATTAAAAAAATAGATGATAATTGATCAGTAACTGAGTTTGTCCATATGAAAAAGACTCTCCATAACTCTATTTAAATATCTCAGTGTGTTAACCAAAGGAACAAAAAAAAATCTCTCTTTGCATATTTAAGCTTTGTTATATAATCAGCAGTTAATGGTTATTTTACAGATAAAAATGTACAAACAAAAACAAAAGTGAATTTCTTCAGTCAGCCTTTGATGTGGTAAGACTTGCCAGACAACCAAACAAACAAAACAGAATGCAAAAAACATTAAACCAACACAAAACTGCTTGCTAGCCATCACTCATACAGTGTATCCCTCTATCTTGGCCCCTGTCTGTCCCTCTCAGAGCAGCATGGACTCCTGCATTGCAAAGGCCTCCTGCGCCTGCCTGTAGTGTGTTCCACCAAACAGTGGGGGGAGCTGTTGCCTGCTGGAGGGGTCTTGGTAGGATCCTCTGAAATGGAGCATAGAGTCCGAGATATTTGCAGGTGCAAAGTTAAACTCCTGAACAGGGTGAATGGGAGAGAGCTGAGCTTTCTGGAAGCTGGGAGATCGAGGTAGTCCCACAGGAGACCGTGGAGGCCCCGCCTCCATGTCCCCATACCAGCCCTCTTTCTGTCTGTGTGCCTCATAACGCAGTTCTGTGGGCGGGTAAGGGGAAGAGCCCAGCAGCCCGGTGGGTTGTCGCATGTAATACCCGCCCTCGCCAACACTGTCTATCTGGGACGAAAGCTCAGCCGGAGCAACCCTGAGAGGGGGCATGTTTGGCAGTTGCTGTCGGTAGGTTAAGTAGCTGTTGTTCATCAGTGTTTTCTCAGGCGAAGGGTTACATGAGCCATGTCCCGTAGTTGCGTAAATTTGCTCGGCGAATGGCTGCCCGTATAGTCTGTCCTCAGACCGAGAATCAGAAACATAGGGAGTGTAGACAGGAGTCATACCAGTTGGGTAGTGCAGAGGTGCACGGGGTTCTGGTTTGGACTGCATCATGCTCTGTTTGGGCATTCTAAAGGGAGAGACGCCAGTTCCATCACTAGGGAGACGGGTGGGACTGCCCTGTCTCAAAGAAGGCCCAACGTTCGGTCGGGAGGGGGGGCGAGAGGGCGGTTTCTCAAGCTCTATAATCTCCATAACCTCTCCATCCGGTCCTGGGACATTGTCGTATTGCGAGGCATTGGAGGCACGGTTGGAGCCTGGAACAAACGCTCGTGAATAGGGTCTGCGCTGTGCCCCGGTGGCCGCCTCTGGAGTTGGGGAGCTGGGCGAGGGTGGAACACCCATAGATAGACTCAACTGGCTTTCCCGTGCTGCAGCCTTGACTGCTTCCAGTTTGCCCTCTGAAGGCTTCACCCAGCGAGGTGCAATGTCCCTGCGCATGCTGGATCTAGCATTGGAGTTGTGATTCGCCTGATTCTGGGTCAGCACCTTCCCACCACCTGTTGAGCTGCTGTTGGGCATGTGGGTTGGGACTCTTTCCTTTTGAATGTTCACACCTCGTCGATCCCTCTCACTCTTGTCTGGATGAGGCACCCTGTCCAATGAGCTGGGTGGCCGACTTTCTTGGTGCCTCTTTGGTGTTCCATCAGTGACAGGACCGGACTCTGCTTGTTTACTGACGCTTGCGGCAGGGCTCGAAACACGAGGGGGAAGGCCCTCAACTGTCTTCCTGACCGGCTGCCCGTTAGCCATATGATTCGTTGCTGCTGCTGCCAATCCTGGAGGCTCAGGAGGAAGTTGACCTAATGGTTTCTTAGGAAACTCATCGTCCTTACCTGCATGGGTGATAGCAGAATAGCCAATCAGAGCTAACATCAGTACAGAAATGCCAAGTATTAAAGACCCCATGAAATCAAAACTTTTTACGAACTTCATCTGCATTCAAAATTTACAATCTCTCTCTTCCTTTGAAACAGACCAAAACATTGATGACTCCTCTTGCACTTAAGGGCGTATACAAATTTCTGACCAAAAAAATTCAACCGCATTTCATGGAGTCTTTATACCATCAGAATATAACAAACACTGAAGTGCAAGACTCATGCAGCTGAATGTCTTTTAGAAGAACAAACTGCCAAATAAAACGAGAGTTACAGTTGACACTTTGTTCAAATAAAATGAAACCACAAACATCCACGGCTGGTGTCAAATCAATGCTCAGATTGGGAACACTGAGTCAAGAAGCTAAAAATATAAATGAAAATATTATAACAACACTTACAGTTCAAGCCTGACTGTGAACATATAAACCATGTGGAGAAAAGATGTGTTAGGTACATTTTGGAACACAAAGCATATGCACAATATTCACGTTCGCAGTGAAGGAAACTGAAGAAAACGTCAAGGGAATGATGAACGTTTACAAACAGATACTGATGGTTGGGGGCGGATATTGGTGTGCATTGAGAAGTGGCTCGAGGAACGCAAACGTCAAATACACACAAACTCATGAACACCTCCAAAGGTGCTGGTTATCATATTTCGGGTCCAAAATTAAGATTTGCCGATCACCAAAAGTGAGTCGCTGGCCAAATGTATGGCATGCAGGGATTGAAATGAACTTTTTCACTCACTAGCCAATTTGGCTACTAAATTTTTAAGTTACCGGCCATTCATAACTTCTACTAACCAAAAAAAAAAAAAGACGGAAATACACCAACAGTTTGAGTCTGTACACTGGGCGTGACAAAGCGACCATTGCAAATCATTTTGTCAGTACTAGGGGTGTGCGATATCGACAAAAAATAATATCTCAATATTTTCTGTGATTTCTGCACTCTCTTTTTATTTAGTGGCGGAAACGGGCTTCCATAGAATACTGATGCATGAACATAAAACATGAAAAAAAAGTCGAAATGTGAAATTAAAACCGCCAGTAAGTGGCAGCAAGTCACTGTTAAGTGAGTCGTTGCGATTGAACCGAATCAATTTCACCAGGGGTGCCCAAACTCGGTCCTGGAGGGCCGGTGTCCTGCAGAGTTTAGCTCCAACCCTAATCAAACACACCTGAACCAGCTAATCAAGCTCTTACTAGGCATGCTAGAAACTTCCCGGCAGGTGTGTTGAGGCAAGTTGGAGCTAAACTCTGCAGGACACCGGCCCTCCAGGACCGAGTTTGGGCACCCCTGATTTACACGGTTGATTCATTCAGAAACAAAACAACGTCATGTTGCTCAGAGACGCAAAACAGTACTGTGGCTGTGTTTGGAATGTTTTCTTGTTGGCGAAATAGCACAAAAATAGTGCAAAAACAGCCATTATGGTGTCTAAAACGTAAGTCTCTAGATATTAACTTATTGTTTATTGAACTGTTGTATAAAATAAATATCACATTTGTAACCATGCTGATTTTTTAAGAAAAAAACGGCGCTCTTCGTGTGATATTGATTAACTATATGAACTGATATAAATATATAAATTTTCTGCCTCCTCATCTTGAAGTATGTGATCATTGTTAATGCATATCAATAGACTGAATCATGCAGCGAAAGAGCGCACTATAAAAGCGCACAGCACTAAAGCCTGTGTTGGTCTAACCAGACTTCATCACGTCGCGTATGCACGCCTCTGTAGGTGTGTTTTGTTTAGCTTTTGCAATATACTCGATATAATGTCATGATGTCTCACGAGTTCAGTATTTGCGCTAAACCTGCGCAGATTTGACCTGCATGAATTTCCCCAAGAAATGAATTAGTAAACAATTTACGAAAAGTAACCCGCCAAATTGGCCAGTAATTTGACAGCGTTACCCACCACAGCTGATTTTTACCTGCATTTGGCGGGTTGGCGGGGGTTAATTTCAAACCATGATGGCATGTATGGTTTAAATCAAGACTTTTTGTTCATGGTTTCTCATGCAAATTGAACAGGAGACTTGACTCAGAATTGATTTCAATAGTTTGGTGTTAGCATGTTGCTAAGCTAATGATACAATACCCTATCATACAAAAATACCCATGTTAAAAGTTTCAAGGCCAGTAAAGAATATCTATGGTTCTCGATGCTCATCATCTACTTAATTCATTTGCCATTGGCAGGGGTGGCAAAAAGTTAATTTTGGACACTTCTGTCTACTGACTTGTGTGTTTTTATATTCTTAAGTCGTATCCATTGTACTCATTCATAAATGTATTCATCATAACTGTCCTTTTACATGTTTGTAACGTACAGTACCCCATAGCATATTTTTGTGACAAACGTTTTGGTTAACCTCCCCAATCCAGGTTTTGTGAGAGACAGAGAAACAAACGAGGGGAAAGGGATGTGTGTGTAGTGGGGGTAGATGAACGAATGGTCGGTTGATTGACAGATAAAGTAGTCAGTGCTTTTTTGCCCACCGGTTGGTTTTGTAGGAGGGTTGGCGCCCCCCCTTCCCAGACCCACTAGAGTAAGCAGAGGCTATGTTTGAAGCGAAAGGGAGAGAATGCAGATTAGACAAACAGTACATAGCAGCAGTGAATGAGTGTGTGTGCGCGTTGAGATAAAGGAGTGTGTGCAGTAGGATGTGTCCCTCTATGGGTGGTGACACACAGCCATACATTTTATGATTTGCCAAGATTTCAGTGCATGTGTGTGTGTTTAAAATACCTGGAGGTGGCAGCTCCAGTTTAGATCGTCTGAGCTCAGACATGGAGTGTTGAAACTGCTCTATCACAAAGTCATCCTCAAAAAAGAAATCCTTTGACAAAGTCACCTGCAGAAACTTCACCAGCTCCTCCATGGACAACTTCAAGAGGATTTCTAACATACAAACACACAGAGTAGTTACTATTAGAATGGGACGTTCAAAGTCTCTGAAGAATCAGACTAATTATAACTAATTACAATTACTGCAGTCTAGCTGCCATCAAGTCCTTTCAGGGTTTATTTTGCACATTGATCAACCTTTTTTTTTTATATATTTATATTTAGAATTTGAATTTAAACATTTTAGCTTTTATCATGGGTTTTTGAGGAGACACACTCTAGTGTTGTAGTACTCGAGACTGGTCTCGGTCTTGAGAAAGGTCTTAAGTCTTACACATTTGTACTTGGTCTTGTCTTGGTCTCAGACTAAAAGGACTTGAGTTTTGTTTCAAGACTGATCAAGACCACAACTCTGGGAATATCACTAAATTGCCAGTGCATTGTCTGATTTATTTGTTAACATCATTAATGTGACTGGATGTAAAACTTCCTGCTTTAAATGCAATCATTGACTAATTAAACAACTAAATAACAATAAAAATTATTAGATTTATACCATTGGATCTCAAAATGTTTTACTTCAAAGCCCCCTATTGTCCACAAAAATATTTAAAGGCCCCCTCCACTCACCCAAAATATTTTAGAGCTTAGCGTGGCTAGAAAGATGTATATTCATACAAATACCCAGAAAATTCAAGATATTGTTGCAAAACAGTACTTGTATGAGAACTGGATTTTTATATTAAAACATATGATATAATTAAGCAATATCAAAAGAGCAATTCTCAACATTATTTATGCATTTGTAATTGTACCAATTCAGATAACGTTTCTGTGCCACCACTGCAGTGCAAAGATGAATTTTGTTGTTAGTGATCTAATTTGATTGGTTACAATCTATATAGAGCTCTATATAGTGTCTAATAATTCCAATTGTATTTAATGATTAAAAATAAGACATTTCTCAGGCAGTAAATGTGGATCTTTCAGATGAATTTGAGTAGTGCTGGTCTTGTCTTGGTCTCAACACACATTGGTCTTGGTCTCGGATTAGGTGGTCTTGACTACAACACTAACACGCACACACACACTTGTATATGTGGTTTACGGGGACTCTCCATTAAGCGTAATGGTTTTTACACTGTACAAACTGTATTTTCTATCCCTTACCTTAACCCTACACCTAAACCTACCCCTCACACAAAAACGACTGCCATTTTTTAATTTCAACAAACACGGTTTAGTATGTTTTTAAGCCATTTTGGGAACACAGGAAGTCTCCTCATAAACCATGCTTACTTTGTAACACCCATGTCATTATACGCATCTGTCCTCATAAACCATATATTCAAGCACACACACACAATCATTACTTTTGTGGAGCTTGAGGATGGTGTAAGACATCGCAGTCAGAACTCGCTCTCCTTCCAGAATATAAATATCCCATATTCTCAGCGTGAGCGTGAATGGAGTCTATTCAATCAAAAACAAATAAATGCACTCAAATCAGTAAGGTTTCACACTGGACAACAAATAATAATATAAATAATAACATAAAATAATAATGTGCTCAGAAATAATGTTTAAAGAGTGCATACCCGATCCAAAAAACACTGGAAAAACCATTTCATAGTGTACAGGCTGGTGTACACCTCTTGATTATCCTGTAGAGGGCAGCAAAGGGACAGTTGTATTGTACGCTCATGGTATCAAAACATACACATCCAAAAAAAAAAAAAAAAACTTTATTCATTCAAACATATGCTATATACCAGTGTACAACATACTGCACAGTATATACTTTTTTAAACTTGAAAAAATACACAATGTGCAATGGTGGATGCTTCAAAAATGTAGTAAGCTACACATTTGTTTCAAGACCTCTTTGCATTGCTTGTTCACGTCGGCAAAAAATGTTAAGCAAGTACTACGGTTGTACTGTACACTATTGGGAACAAAGCCATATGTTCTCTCTCTCACACACACACACACACACACACACACACACACACACTTTAATGAGTGAAGCTTTTCATTATCTTTTATCCCCTTGCTAATCCATTCACATCAAAGACTGACTCTCACTCACAAATAATTAATTAATAAATCAAAAAAAAAAAAAAAGTAATTTATTAATTACTCTGCCCTTTAATGAATCCAAGGCTGGCATTTCTTTGTGAATTCATTGTTACACCAGCGCTTTGGGTTGGCTAGCTGCTCAGGTTCATTTCAGAAAAGGGAACAAAGCCATATGTTCTCTCTCTCTCACACACACACACACACACACACACACACACACACTTTAATGAGTGAAGCTTTTCATTCTCTTTTATCCCCTTGCTAATCCATTCACATCAAAGACTGACTCTCACTCACAAATAATTAATTAATAAATTCAAAAAAAAAAAAGTCATTTATTAATTACTCTGCCATTTAATGAATCCAAGGCTGGCATTTCTTTGTGAATTCATTGTTACACCAGCGCTTTGGGTTGGCTAGCTGCTCAGGTTCATTTCAGAAAAGACACAAATACACTGACAAATAAAGAACACAATATAGGCCAAAAATAAGACTGGATATGAAGCTTTTCAGACATTGTGAAAATTCAATTTAGGACCAGTGGTGGAAAGAGTACTGAAAAAATATACTCAACTAAAAGTACCATTACCTTCCAAAAAATGTAGTGTGAGTAGAGTATAAGTACTTGTCCAAAAAAACTAATTGAGTAAGAGTAAAAGAGTAGCGGCGGTCTCGGTGAATCAGCAGCATCCACAACTGAACGGAACAAGAAGTGTTGAACTTGAAAATTGTTTTTGCGCGACTGCACTTGCTAAATTAAGGCGGATTGTATAAAATGGATTAAAAAAAAATGTTTATTAACGAGCTGCAGTTTTATTACATCACGCGCTGGCACAGACGCAGTATATTAACGCCAAGGGCCATCAATGAAGTGCAGATTGGTCCTCAATTTGTGTTTCCAACACACTTTTTCACAGCGTGCATCACACGCTCAAACTCAGCAAAAGTCAACAAGTTCAATAAGCAACAACGACTTATCCAAGTGACTGCTGCAGAACGCACGCGAGAGAGAGACGAGGCAGCGCAGAACGCGCGTCTCATAAGTGAGTGGGAATGCATTCCAGCAGCCATGATAAACAGTTGGCGGTTAAAGTTTTCTATGCACGATTTGATCTGACGAAAGTCACGAGACCTATTACTATCTCTCTATCCAATCACGTTGATGTATAAAAATACAATTAAAATAAGCATGTAACGATCACAAACGGAGGAAAATAGCGGAGTAAAAGTACCGATACATCACTTAAAATGTACTCAAGTAAAAGTAAAAGTACACCATTTTTAAACTACTCAAAAAAGTACAATTACTGATAAAAAACTACTTAATTACTGTAACGTGAGTATTTGTAATTCGTTACTTCACACACCCGTTTAGGACACAGTGTTAATCAGGACAAAATATCTACATGAACAAAAAAGTCTTAGATGTAAGTAATGTGTACCGTGAAGTAATACTACATGAGTTTTTCTACAAGTGAAGTGGCCCAAAGTTCAGCTGTCCCACTTTTTGAATAGTGCATGATGTTTTGGAGGTGTTTGTGTGTCTTACTAGATGTTGTTTGAGCTTAGGCATCATCTTCTGCAGGATACGTTCATGATGCTCCTGGAAGCGCATGAGTTTAGGGAACCCTGGTACAAAGAAACCTAGACGAACACAACAACATTTTTCAATATGTTACAAAAAGTGTATGTGAAGTGCGTGTTTACAATATACAGAATTTATATTCTTAATCATGAAAAGAGTGTTGTAGCTTAGTGGTTTGCTAATTTTGCTTTACAACCCAGATTTTACATTGGACATCAAGTGGTGACTCAACACAGTACCAAAATTGATCATAGAAAAAAAAAAAAATATTAAAATGTAAATGTATTAATATTACAACAAACTACATAGCCTATGTTAGTTTTATATATTTATTTAATTATATAAATGTTGACTGTATGGATTAATCATACTAATAAAGGCAAGCATTTCCTTTTCCCTTATAAAACTTGTAATTTCTAAATATGAATGACTAGTATTATTATTATTACTACAACAACTACTCAACATGAGTTGAATATCACTTTTCTAGAATGAGTAAAAGTGTGTGTGTACCGTGCATGGTGTGTTTCTGTCCAGACAGCAGTTTGACCAGTGCCCAGAAAGCATCTTCCTCATTCATATAGATGAGTAACAGAGCAGTGATCTGACTCATGCCCTGACAATAGCCCACCTCCTACACACACACACACACACACACACAAGAGAGAGAGAGAGAATCCATAGTGTGCAGGTTCCTTCCACACATAAATCAAGTGCAAGCACATACTCATAAAATGATTGCTACTGAGGAAGCATTTTAATTCAATAATTGTGACGTCAACTGGAATCAACATGGCAATATTTGTGGGTATATTTTACTCACCGTGTTATACACAGAATACGCTGTGAGCACATGAAACAGATCCTGCTGTCTGAAACGCACAAGCACATACAAAACAATTATGGTCAAAGAATCAATTCTGTTTTTCTATTTTATATGCCATGGGTCATTAGGTTTTGCACATTTTTACATGTTCTGTTCTTTCCCTCTCTCATTGTCTCATTGTTTTTTTTCCCCCCTATGGATGTCTAAGGCCACACTGTGAGAATGATCTGACCCTTTCAAATCTCCACAGGTAAATGTCACATCAGTCAATATGGGCGCTTTAGCCCTGTCACAATTCAATACACCAATAACTCGAAGAGAAATGGTGGGGTGTGGGCATCTCTCTCACCATTGCGTTCTCAACTTTTCCATTTCATATGCTGGTTAAATGTAGCAGTTTTATGGCCATGAGAAATGGAAGCATTTTATACAGAGACAGATTAAAGCCCTACATTAAAAAAGCCTTCATCAGCAAAGCAATTCTGTATGAAAGCCTGATAAAGCACAACAATGTATGCAATATTTGCAGTAAAATGGTTGGATACTTGAATTAATTGTTCAGAATTCAATAATAATAATAACAATAATAATGATAAATAAAATAAATTAAAATAAAACAACAAAACAAAATGCAAAATGTTTAGATACTTCAATACCTTGTTTAAAATCCAAAACCAAAACAAACAAAAACAAGAAAAACAAACCAAAATGACATAATGTTTGGATACTTCAATAACTCAGAATTTAACCAGATGAACAAACAAAAATAAACTTAGCCTATAATAATAATAACTAACAATAATAATAATTGTAAAAAATGATAATAATAATTAGGGCTGTCGATTTAACACTCTAATTAATCTAATTAATTAGTTATGGGAAAAAAATGTACAAGTTAAACTTTTTAACGCATTTAACAAGTGCAATATCACACCAGTGTTGTTTTTGTCCCAAGTAGCACAAGTGCAAATGAGATACTGATTTTATACAACAGTTCAATAAATAAGAATTTAATATTGTGTTATATTTTAGACTATTGACTATTTTTGCTCAGTTCTGCCAATCACATACAGGTGCATCTCAATAAATTAGAATGTCATGGAAAAGTTCATTTATTTCAGTAAATTCAACTCAAATTGTGAAACTTCTGTATTAAATAAATTCTATGACATTAGGGCTGTGGATTTACCATGTTACTTTTTTCCATAACTTTTTTAATTCACGTGTTACATTTTTTAATGCAATTAACAAATGTGCAATATCACACGAGTGCTGTTTGTGTCCAGAACAGCGTGCAAATGTGATATTTTATACAACAGTTCAATAAATAAGAATTTAATATTGTGTTATATTTTAGACTATTGACTATTTTTGCTCAGTTCTGCCAATCACATACAGGTGCATCTCAATAAATTAGAATGTCATGGAAAA